GCTACATTCTCACCAGCCGTCATACTGTTCACTTTGGGCCTGACTACATTCTCACCAGCCGTCATACTGTTCACTTTGGGTCTGGCTACGTTCTCACCAGCCGCACGGGTTTAAAGGCCTCAACATAATCACAATATGGGGGGGTGCGTGGGGTAGTGCGTATATCATTGTAAACTAACATTCGATCCCTTTATATACCTTTATACATACACACAACTAAATATATAATATATAATTTCTAATCCTATATAAACCTCAACCCATAAAGCATTCCATAAACTCCCCCATTTAAATTCATCAATTTATATCCTAAACTCACAATATCCATTCAACTCAACAACGCTCAAGACCTGTCACTAAGGTCATTCTAACCCTCTAGGAAAGGTAAGACTATCTCGGAAGTCTCACGGTCAACTTATGGTCAAACGGGCCCGCGGGGCCCACAACCTCCAAATTCCGATCTGAAAGTTCCCATAGGTTCTACAGGCTCTAGGACACATGTTCTGCAAGTTTGGTCCAGATCAGACGGTCGGATCGCTCATGATCGCAGGATCGGACAGTTACTAAAACTCTAACCCTAGGGTTAGCATTTCCGGAGTATCCGGGACTCCGTTTTACGATCCGTCGAATCCTACACGATCCTGGTAATGCCTAGATCAACATATTATAACTTTAGGACCATCCAACGGTCCAAACCTAGCGAACCCAAAAAATACGCGATATGCGATATCCGTTCGGGACTCTAACGGTACCCAAAATAATATCCGAGCACACCTACGCGCTCGTGACATCGAGAGGATTGCAGTGGGACAAAAATGCCCCTCAACTACAGTGCCCACGCGTCGGCAGCGCGTGGGTGTCCAAAGAGATACCCATCGCGGGAAAACTTCCAAATCAAGAGCCAAAACTCCTATCCTAGGTAATACACCTAATTTGGAGCCACTTTTGTTCTTGGGCATACTCCAAAAGCTGACCGGAAGTGGCCGCAATCTCCCCTCGAAATCGAGTTATCTACGCTACAAATTGATCAATTCCTACCCAACATGCAGCTAGAGCTTGAAAAATAGATGAGAAAGCATACCTTGATCGCAAGATTTGGTGGCCAGAATCGCCGGAACGAGCTCCGGAAAATCTGGGTAAAAATCGGCCGTTTTTCTGCAATTTCAGGCGGTATCGCTGCCGACTGACATCGAAGAACGGGTGGGGCAGGACGACGGAGTCAGGCCGGTCATTTTGGGATCGGTCCCGACCCGAGTGGTGGCCGGATGAATGAACGGCCGGCCATGGTGGCTGTCGCGAAAACCAAAAGAGAGAGGGAGAGACGCGCGGGGGAGAGAGAGAGAGAGAGAGATGAGGGCAGTTCCGTCTTTTTATCAAAAATTCATTTTCAAAATATTTACGACTTTGCCACTGGTGATGTTTTGCCCGTAACTTATTCGTTACAGCTCCGATTCAAGCCCACTACGTCTCTACGGACTCATCTCGCCGTGCTCTACGCAATGGTACAACCGGAATTCCCAAAATCCTTCCAGATAAGAAATGACCAAATTACCCCTATCACAAGGGTAAATTCGTAATTTCACTTAAATAAATTAAAATATGCAATAAATTTGGAGTCGGGGTGTTACATAAGCTATTAGATTTTCTAATTTCGTTCTAATTTTTATTAGATATTCGTTTGAGTTTTAAATTGTGATTTTAATTTCTTTTTGTTTATAATGTGGATTGATTTCAGATTCAGTTTGGTTGTGGATTTGCTTTTTTGTTTTGGTTTGAGTTGTGTTACAAATTTGTGATATTTGATTATGTTATCATATTAATTGAGGTATGTTTTTTTCAATTGAATCTGAGTATATTCGTGTTTTTTTTGTTTATGCACTATTGATTTTGAGTCGACTATAATTTGCTGTTAGGTAGCAATGTTATTACCTTATATTGGAACTTTACAGACATGTATTAGAAATAAGATTTCATAGGAAACAAGCAGTGTTATTACCTTATACTGGAACTTTACAGTGGTAGACATGCATTAGAAATAAGATTTTATATGAAACTAGTAGTGTTATTATCCTATACTAGAACTTTACAAGGGGTAAACATGTATTAGAAATAGGATTTTAGAGGAATCTAGCAGTGTTATTACCATTTACTGAAACTTTACAAGGGGTAGACATGCATTAGAAATAGGATTTCAGAGGAATCTAGCAGTGTTATTACCCTATATTGAAATTTTACAAGGGTTAGACATGCATTAGAAATAGGATTTCAGAGGAATCTAGCAGTGTTATTACCCTATATTGAAATTTTACAAGGGTTAGACATGCATTAGAAATAGGATTTCAGAGCATTAGAAATAGAATTTCAGAGGAATCTAGCAGTGTTATTACTCTATAATGGAACTTTACAAGGGGTAGACATGC